AGTTGAAAATTTAACCGTATGACACCTACCATGATACTTGGTAGTATCCCACGATGATATTAAAAATTTTAGCACTCAACAACCGGCTGGCAACTGCCTACCAACGACCATTGGTAACCTACTGTGATACTTAGAGCTACCGTGATATGATACTCAAACTTCGAGCGATTGATGATCCCCTACTGGCAATCAAGTGGTATCCTACAAAGATAATTTTTGCTGATCATCTTACAAAGATAATTAGAGGTGTCCCCTGTGATATTAAAGTTTCTGACAACCGGCAACTAGCAATCATCAATGAATGACCGTTAGAATTCTATTGTGCTACTAGGAAATATCCTACCGTAATACTAAAACTTTGGCAATTAGAGAGCCAAAATTGTTCCCATGATACTTTTGTTAGTATGTTTAGTCTGATATTTTACGGCCACCAGGTGGTATAAAAAATCTAGCAACTAAGGTTGGCTTTTCACACAAAAATATTTTGAAAAATCATCAAAACATTTCTTTCAACAAAAATATATGAAAAAAAATTCAACCGGCGACTATCAAAACCTCTTATGAAATTTTACAAAACAAAAAAAAAACAAAAAGAATGGATTCTCATCGTCGATATTGAGACTAAATCACACTTTTTATGTCTGTTTGCAGCCATTGAATGCAAATTGTCGGAAACATGGACTAAAACATCGACCAAGGTTTTTCCATTCCCATTTATGATCTTGTTTAACGGCTGCTTGGTTTTTTTTTTTTCTAAAAAAAACAACTCTTTTTTAGTACGGAGAGACGTGTCATGTTTGTTGTCTTGTCTCGTCAAAATGACGTTATACATGTTTTTTTAGTTAAGAAAATGATAAAAGTAAAAAGACAATTTTAAAGAAGTGGAGTTTTTCTGTTAGATTAGTTTTATATGTAGTTTTAAGTTACGTTTATTTTATTGATTTGAGTTTAGAATTTGAATTTTATTATAGTAAAAAATTCTCATAAACAGTTAAATTTAACATTTTTATTACAGTAAAAAGCTCTCACATAAAGTAACATATTAATTCGAATTAAAAATTCGAATCAACGAACTAAACGGATTCTCAATCAGATTAAATTAAAATTATTTTAAATTTAAAAAATATGTAAAATAATAATTTTTCATGTAAAATAAATCTGATAGATTAAAATAAAAAATGATTGATTGTTTATTTTTCGGAAGCTCCCCCAGAATTTCTTCATAAGAGAATAGACCAAAGAAAGCGTTTGGGTACAGGCTGTAAAGATACACAACAAATAAGGGGAAAGAAAGGGTCCCCACCTATCCACAAGGCAGAAAAGGCCAAGAATTCCAAGATTCGAAGAGATAAATTTTCTCTCTCTCTATAAATTAAGGGGCTTTTAATATGGTCCATTCCAACCAGTCAAAAAAAAAAAAAATTTGCTGTTAAAAAATCAGACAAGGCTCCGCCATAGAGGGCTCTTTCATCGAACCAACGCCACTTTCCCACTGGCCCACGTTGCTCACCGGCTCAAGCTTATCTGCTTCAGCCCGCTGACCATTTTCGTCATTCCATGTTACTTATTTTCATTATTTTTTCTTGAGACCTTTTCCAAGTAAAGTCTCTAAAACCTAATTGATCATTGAATTTAATTAAAAGCGCATTAAATTAATAAAAATATATAAAACAAATAATTTATAACACGTATCTAACGAAAAAGTAAAAAATTACTTGTAATTTTTTTTTTCTTCTGTGCTACTAGAGTGACACTTCTTTTTCCTTTCAATAAAAGTCCATTATTCGTTCTTAAATAAAAAAATAAAAGTTTTATTTTCTCTCTGTTCTTTCTATTTATTCTTGTGGTAAAACGTTTTTGACAGGGTATTAGAAAAAGAAATTCTATAGAAAATTTTTTTAATTTAATTATTTTTTATGTTTTTTATTTTAATGTAATTTTAATCATATATACAACGTTTAAACATACTCACACAATAAAATTCTTAGGATAAAAGAAAATAAACTCCAGCCGTAAAAGAGCAACAATGACAAAGGAAAAGAAATTATACAAAAATAATTCAATACGTCATTATGATCGTTTAATTACCACACCTAAATGGCACCTTTTTAAATAACTAATGGGATGTTTGTTTTAAGGGTTCGTCCTTAATTTTGAATTATGGTTCTTAATTTTTACAGTGTTTTTTTCTTATCAAAAATTTAAATTTTAAAAATCAGAATTATGAATCGTGGTTCTGAATCCATGAACTAAATGTCCCATAAATTCTAATTTCCCAAAAATAGAAAAGTAGGCAAGTAACTTTTAGACTAATTTAGTTAAAAATAAACACATATGTAGATGAGTTTTTAATAATTATATTTTATTTTTATTGGTGGTTATCATTAAATATAAAAATTTATTAAAGTGACGTGATAAAAATAAAATTTTAATAATTGTTATAATATTTTTAGTCAGCTATCTAATTTATATATTTTGGGAATCTTTATGGTGGAATCTTAATTAGTGCTTCATTGATGGAGCATTGTTTTCTACTTTTTGTCGTTAGATTACTTTTTCAATGGTCAGATTTGTAATAAGAACAGTGGCGCGTTATAAATTTTTAATACAAACCTTCACAGATCTAACCTATAAAAAACTAATACAATAGTTGAAAAAGCAGTGTTGCATCGTTAGAGCACTTATTAAGGCTCTACCATAAAGAATCTCATATAACTCATTCCAATCATACCTTAAAAAATAAACTAAAAAAAAAATGGAGGGGGTTGGTTAGCACAACTGCCCCCTGAACTTTTCGTGGTCTAGCAAATTGTCCCTCGAACTTTTAATTTTGGCAATCAAACTCCTGAACATGTAAAAATGTTACAATATGCCCCATTTTATTAAATTTTACTAAATTTGCTCAAATTTTTTATTAGATTTTAAAGGTTTAAAAGTCAAGAAATTAAAATATTTATGTCACGTTCGAATTGGGATGTTGAAATTTTTCATCGAACGTGCTTTTTTGACACTGACTTTACACAATCAGTCAAATTGGGGCATATTATAACAAGTTTATAAGTTGAGAGGGCAACTTGGTAAAATTAGGGACAAATTGTTAAAACCATACAAATTCAGAGGTAAATGTATAAAATATCAAAAAAAAAAAGATATTAATGCTTATCCAAAACATGTGTCTAGGCTTGCATTTATTCTACACAACTTTCAAAGGAACAGATTGAAAAATGCTAAAATCACTTGTTTGCTCACTCTCATTTTTACTCTCATACTAGGATTACTAATTCTAATCTTTTATAATATTACAAGATTTAAAGAAAAATGAAGTTCAAAAAATTGAAAAAGAGAAATTTATTATATATATATATATATATTGAAGAACAACGGTAATATTTATACATACACAAGTGATATATACATACATTACTTCATATATATATATATATATAACGTTATTTTATAAAACCAAACGGCAAACGTATATATATATATATATATATAACGTTATTTTATAAAACCAAACGGCAAACAGTATATACATAATGCTGCTAAAAATTGATGTATATAAACGTATAATGTATATACTTCAATTTGATTGAAAGAGAGAGAGAGAGGGGGAAAAAACTATCGTTTATTAAATTGTGTAAAGAGTGGCAGATTTGTAATAAAATGTAGGAAAATGGTTTATTATTATGCTTCAATTTTATTGTAAAGTGGAATGACATGTGGTAAAAATAGAACAAAGAGAATATGAAAGAGAGTGACTAAATAAATGATCTTTGCTCGTTTAGTTCGTTGATTCGAGTTTTTAATTCGAGTTGAGATGTGATTTTATATGAGAGCTTTTTACTGTAGTAAAAAAGTTAAATGTGATTGTTTGTGAGAACTTTTTACTGTAGCAAAACTCAAATTCTAAACTCGAATCAACGAAATGAACAGGGCCTAGCATTTTCTGTTCAAAGGAGATATTGAAGCATGATTTACATCACCCCCAGTAGCATTTTCTTGCTCATGTTACTTGAATTTTATATTAGGAATATTCCAAGCCGTACTAAAAATAAAATAATTAAAAAAAGAATTTCAAATTAAATAAAAGAAAGAGACCGCCAAGCAAAGGCAACAATATGCTTGTCACTATCCAAAGACCCTAACAGTGCCATCATTTATTGATGTACAAGTTGTTTAGTTTGGTTACATGCTACTTACCAGCTCAGATCGCTGTCACAAAATTCCACATGATCAATGTATTAAATAATGAAAATGTGTCCCCAAAATCATACCAAACTAGGAAAAAATACCAACATCGAAATTAAATGAAGCCCTCATAAGTGGTTGAAATATGGCTCATCAAGAAGATTGCTAGTTTATCCGTCCACCGAGTAAACAAAATAAAATAATATTAAAAGTTCATTTGAAAGTAGATAATGTTATTTATAAACAAAAGAAAAACACCACGAGATATAGCACATGTTTGATAAAGCTTCATAAAAACTGTTTTTAATTTATCAAATGTGTTTTAATGCTTAATCAAAAGTGCTTCGACTCTCTCTTGAAAAATTTTTAGTCTCAAAAAAATTATTTTAAATAAATTTTAAAATTTGCACCAACATCTAAATAAAGTTTTTTTTTTTAAAGCAAGTAAAACATTATAAACTTCATTTTAACTTTTTATTGTTCATTATAAAATTTTAAAACCATTTTGACTCTTTTTAAGATTTTTTAAATATAATTCCAAAGACTTGCGGAGAAACTAAAAATAGCTTTCACTTCTCTTATTGTTAAAACTAAAATTAAAATGATCTTGTATGTTAAATTTTTTAACTGTTAAATTTGTATAAAATTTCATAAAAAAAAATATAAATTTAACAGTTAAAAAACTTAACCTACCAATACGTCTCAAAACATCTCTCTCAAACTACAAACTACAAGGTAAAAGCTCTAAAAACGAGATTTAACCACTTAAAATAATGTAACTACTACAGACTGAAGAAGGCAAAAGTAGCTTCAGAAAAACTTTACGAAGATAATATTAAGCACAGAAAAAAGGTTCAGAATAACTGAATAAGCTAATTCCAATCACAGCCTACAATATTACAAATAACATGAAATAATTAACACAAAAAGTCAAGTCATGAAACAGAAAAAAATCCTGTAGCAGACATGATGATCAGAAAATTCATGAAAAGAAAAAAAAATACTACCACCTTCAGGTGAAGGTCATACATCAGCCGCTAAACATTAAAATGAACAAGCCCTTCTGGTTTCTGCATTCTCTTCATGGCTGCCAAACACTGAAAATAAACAAGGTAACAAGGTCTATATGTTACGGCATCATCTTCTTCACTTTTTGACATGAAGACGGTGAAGACTGATTGCCATAAAACTCGAATGGCAATTGCGGAAAACTGCCTCTACTCATAACATGCAGTCAGTTCTTGCAGGCAACCTCCTGAAGAAATTCAGTGGCACGGCGGGAAGCTTGTGGCGGAATCTTGGATGTCTCAACACGTAGAATCCGGTGAGAAGGGCCACGACTTGGAACGGGGTAACGTACAGGACAATAGCAGCAATTAGACAGAAGAGCACAAAAAGAGCGGTAGCTCTTGGGTCTCTCCAGCTCAACAGAGATTGCAGCCTCTCCCCTTGAGTGGCCAAGTCACCAACCACAGTCTGGATTCGCCCGGCAATACTTCTCAATCGATCATACCTCATCCTTACAATGTCCATAGGCCGGGAAGTTGGGAAAGTGTCGAATTCCTCGTCAAGTTCATCAGGGTGTGCAGAATCTGCATGCGAGAGGCGAGTGTCCATGTGGGGAGGGTGCCTTGGCCTCCACCTATAGTACCAAACTCCAATCAAGAAAAGGTAGAGGAAAATTGTGGGTAATATGAGCTCCGGAAACATAACCAGTATTATGAACAAGATGTGAATCAGTACAGTTGTGATGGGGTTTTTCCAGTTGCAGATTTGATCAAACCATTTTCCCACTGCAATCAGCCCACTTAAAACCCCCATAATCCTGAAAAAGTTTGCCTTGCTTCTTCTCATACTCCACATGTGGGAGCCCACATCCAGCATATATTCCACCACTTCTTTCCTCAATGGCGGCTCTGCCCTGCTCAGCCTCATCGACACGATTTGAGTGGCCTGGTGCCTCAAGCTATCGAGCTGGCTAACAGTTAAAGGATGGAGATAATGCATTTTAGGCAACAGTGGATGTGAATACATGTGCATCATGTTAAGCAAAGATGAGCACGTGAACCTCACGGCCAAATGAATTTCACCCATCTTCTTCACTCCATTTGGATGTAGAACCAGCAGTGGGTACGAGTGTGTGTAAACCCTATCAGTTTCGAGGGTAGAAAGACGGATTCTTACCTTCCCAATCCTCGAATCCTTCGCCCCTCCACCCTTATCTCCACCATGCAAATGACAGTTATCAAATACCCCAATGGTTATGACTGTGCAGGGATCAAAAACTTCCCAAGTATACTGCTCATTCCACTTTGGAGTAAAGCTATCAATAATAGTTCTTGTGCGGACCCACTTCTGCCCATATTTCGCCACACAATAAGCATCAGTTGTTCCTCTCCCATCTTTTGTCTTCATCGGCATCAACCCCTGAGCATTCAGAATTCCCACTTCAAGAACCCCAATGTTACTTTTCCATAGCTGTTTCGCCGTGGGTCGGAGGTCACTACTATAGTGAGTCGACTCATCGAGAACATGGTAACCACCTTCTAAGCAGATCCTCGTATGAATCCTGCTCGCAAACTTAGTATCCTTCTTTTTCTCCCCTTCTATGATCACATGCTTTTCAAGATTAAACCACCTGGTATTTACAGGCTTATGATCCAATCTGCGGTCCATGTATTGCAGGGGAATCGCACACCTTCCCAAAACCTCTTCTTTGTTCGGTGCAATTCTATCCTCCACACTTAAAATTAGGGGCTCATCAAAAGGTTCTGCAGCGACAAACATCAAATCCTCATTCCACATAGGATTAATGGTCCTACTTTGAGAGATTCTAGTCCTCAAAGCCTGATTTCCCAGTATAGCCTTCACAAAGACTTCAGGATATCTACCCTTGTCCGTCGGTATCAAGTCCTGAGCTTCAATCACATTTACCCTCAAATACCAAAGTTTAGGAGAGAGATATACCTTCGAGCGAATATTCGCAAGACCATCTGCCCCACTGACTGCTGCTGCATCAGAATGCCATGCTTCAGGGAATGCTTCATCAGCTTGGGTGCCCATCCAAACAGCCAACATCAACTCACCCTTAACCTTAACCCCATTCCTATCGTCCAACCTGTACCACTGAGGCGCCAAAGGACTATCAGGTGGAACCCTTTTTGGGATCTCATTCAGATCGAAAAGTACCCGACCAATGAAATCATCCTTCACCAAATCCTTGTCCTTCACAGTCACCTCAAGAACAGAAGCCTGGATCCGTTCTTTCGAGAATGCAAACACCCGGTTCCACTCAGGGTTTGACTTCTTCTCGAAATGCGGGGTTGTACCCTTATAGTTTCCGAGCTTCACTTCAACGTAAGGGTCACAACTACCAGTAACATCCTTCGCAGGCAACTCCTTAGCCTTGACGACTCGGACATAAAGGTATTGCATTTGCTCAACGAGGTCATAAGTGCTCGTGAGCTTGTCTCCGGTGATCTTTCCGCCACCGAGATGCGGGTTTGTCTCCTTCAAGGAGAAGTCTTCCGGTGGAGGTCTCTGCATCTTCTCCTTGCTTCAACGTCAAACCAGAGAAATACCCAGATGGCAAAACTTGATCTTGAACTTGAACTTGAACGGTTGGGATATATTATATTAAAAACAGGACCAAAATTTGAATTAATTCAAAGTTTCCCACTTCCCAGAAACCTAAAAAATCGGGAAGAACAAAAAAAAAACACAGTCAAATAGCCGTTACTTTGCATAGGAAAACCAAGTTACCTAAATATTAGGAAAATTTTTTAAAAAACCAAAAAGAATAAAAGCGGAAATACCTAGGACAAGCAAGAATATGCAAGGCTTGTCACTATATAAATACATTTTATACATATTAACTTAGTAACTCACAAACGACAGGGGAAAAAATGTAAAGCAAAAAATGCAAAATGTGAATAAGAAACTTGGATCGGTTACACATGAAGAGATTTAAGATGAGAATGAGAATGACCTTGAGAGAAACCACCTCCTGAGAAAGCCAAGTTTCAGATCTGATTGTTACCATTACTGCAAAAATAAATAAATTAATAAAATCGTAAAATTAATAAGGCAGAAATAGAATAATCTGAGAAAACGAGGTAGAGAAAACAATAGTCAAAAGGAAAAAATAAGGGCCAGAAAAATAAAAGATGTTTCATTTTCAAGAGAATCTATTATTTACGACCTCAGAAGGAAGCATTTTTTTGGTGGAAATATCCAGAACATTGAACATCAATCAGAAAAGAAAAAAAAAAAAGGCTACCAACAACCAATAATTCATTCCAAAGTTCAATTATTTTTCCTTTTCTTTTTTCTCTTCAGCTTTACCATCAACCAAACAGACGCTGATAAAAAAATAAAAATAAAAAAATAAAAAAACTAACATTTTAACCATTATCCCGAAAACGAAGAAAGGGAAACACGGAGAGAGAAAGACGAAGAATCTGACCTGAGCATAAAAGCCTCTTAAACCCTCGGAAAAACCCTACCGAAGTCGGTGCACCAAAACGCTGAGGCGGTGCAACAATGCATTGAAATCAGCAAAAATAAATAAATAAAATATAAAAAAACAAAAAAAAAAAAACTTCAGAAGCCGACGAACTCTCGTAAAGATTCAACAAAAACCGCCGAAAACTTTCTGTTCGTCTTCTCTCTCTGTCTCTCTCTCTCTAGAAACAAAACGAGAAAACCAAACGTAAATGGGTTTAGTGACAGAGAGAAACAGCAAAAGAGAGGGTGAAGAAGGGAGAAGAACAGCTTAGCAGAAGAGAGAGAAAGAGAAAGGGCGAGGAGAGAGAGAAAGAGAGAGAGAGAGAGCTTTTGCTTTTGAGTGGGATCTGATGAATCTGTGGGAGATATACAGAGAAGCTCTTCGATATGGTCTTTTCCTTTTCTTTCCTTTTTGCTTTTTTATTTTTATTTTTATTTTTATTTTTATTTTTTACTTTTCGCTTTCTCTCTCTTTTTTTTTTTTTTTTCCTTCTGTGTTGCAGGCAGTGTGTAAGTGGGCCCCGGTGAAGCGTGTGTAGGACTGTGGTCGGGACCTCGCACATGTGCGTTTACAGTTTTTTTTTTCTTTTTTTTTTCTTGGGGTGAGAGTAACGCTCCATCCAAACCAAAAATAAATAATTAATTAATTATAATGTTTGTAAGGAAGTAATGTTTGTTCACCTTCTTCGCGTGTATTTTTTTTTTCTTTTTTCTTTTTTTAACGGATAACTCCCTAATTTTTTTTTTTTACGATTTTGGTATCTGAAACTAAAATTTGTAGTATATTTATGAAATTCAATAAATAATCATATCTGTTTCGCATAGTAACTGTGGGTTTTATGGAAATCGCTATGTAAAGTGCAAACTTCTTTAGTTTTCAAGGATTTTAATGGTAGTGAAAAGAAATATTTTGCACCTATTGTGATTACTTTTGTAAAATTTTAAGCTATGTTATAATAACCACATGCTTATCTCTTGAATAATATGAATTCATCATAAATTTTAGAGTCAAAGACTAAAACTAATAAAACAAAAATTTAAAGGACCAAAATATCACAATGTTTATATTCAAGAACTAACAGTGACAATAACTCTAAAAAATACCTTATCAAACAAAATCAGCATTGAATTATGTCAAATTATAATATATATATATATATATTAAGAAATAATTATATCTAGATTTTCTTATCAATTTATATGGCTTTCATTTTTTAAATAATGATATGGTTTTCGGTTCAATACATTATTATATATATAAAAAACGAACCTACAGAAAACGCATTATAAAAGTATAATTTACTGTACTACTGTGAATGAAAAAGAAAATAAAATGGATTGTTTAAAAAATAAGAATATAATATGATATAATATGTAGGATAGGAGCTGCACACAATTGAGTGATTGTAATTATATTCAATTTTTTTTTAGAGAAAGTTCTACAAAAAAACATGAATGGTGCTATTTATTTCATGACATTGCAAAACTCCTAAATGACTCGTTCTTAAATTAGTGCATATTATTATGAGTTACTCATTGTTGTCAAGCACAACAATATGCCATGTATCACCCTAAATATTGAGAGAAAATAATGGGGTAAAATATTTTTAAAAAATGTTTTTAAATCATTCTTTTTATTTTCTACCACAGGACCATAATTTTAGAGGATTAATATAACATATAGATATTCAAATGCTATACATATGTAATTGGGATTTGTGTGGTCAATGGAACAAATTAGAGTGGTGTTACTTTAGTACTTTTCTTTTTCCTGTTTTTTTTTTTTTTTGTAGGCATATGTATAGTTAGTACTTTCTTTAAACTTAGGTCTCGATCACTTCGCTGATTCGAGTTTAGAATTTGAGTTGAGATGTGATTTTATGTGAGAGCTTTTTACTATAGTAAAAAAGTTAGATGTGATTGTTTGTGAGAGCTTTTTACTGTAAAAAAACTCGAATTCTAAACTCGAATTAACGAAATGAACGGGGCCTTAAGATGTCATAGTAATTTTTATTAAAAAAAAAGATGCCATATTTAATTTCTGCTCTCTTTTTTACGTGGGAATATGGTAAATTTACTACTATTTACAACACACTATTAAGGACTCATTATAATAATACTCTTTATGTTTTATTAAAATTACAGTGACACTCAATTAAGTTTCAGATAAGAAGTGTTATTGTTATTAAATTCAGTCAATGATAATTTTAGTAAAACACAGAGATTATAAGTGTAATAAACCCTAATATTAAAGAAAAACAATCGGTGCACAAGCTAATATTGGTGATATTGAAAATGTTGTGAAAAGAAAGTGGTGGTGAGTGGAGATGAGATGTCTTTTCACACAGCCTTTGGATTCTTCTTTAGTTGGCAAAACAAATAGGGTCCAGTTCAGTTGTTTGTTTTGGACCATATAGTTAAGAATAAAAAATAAAAAATAAAAAATAAAAGAAGATGCTTGTTTGGAATTTGGATTTTCCTATGTGGCCTAATAACTAGTTGGCAAAGCATAGACCTTGGAATGTAGTCTTTAAAAAAACAAAAAACATAGGAATGTTAACTTATTTGCCTAATTGAACAAGTTTTTGGCTTTGAGGGTAATTAAAATAAAATTTGCTTGGATAATATATTTTTTTCGATATTTATTATTTTATGTAGTACAAGCAAAAAAAAAAAAGAAATTTTAATATGTAGCGGTTAAAATGAACCTATAGGGATGTAGGTCGTGGTCCAAAGCTTTTAGGTAAAAGAAATTATTTCGAATGGTTATACATGGTAGAAAAGTTATATATCTATGAGACGATGACTCGAAAAAAAAAAAAAAAAAAAAAAAAAAAAAAAAAAATTAAAAATAAAAAAAAAAAAACTTAAAAAAAAAAAAAAAAAAAAAAAAAAAAAAAAAAAAAACCACTATTATTCACCAATAGAGAGTAGATATTAATATTTCTTAACGGTAATATTAATAAATATTAAACGCATTCAATCAATTTTTTCTTTATGAATATTAAAATTTGCTATGATGCAACATTTTTTTTAGTAATATTCTAAAACCACGTATTCATTTAGTGGCAAGTCTAAGGACTTGAAGATAAGAAGGATTTGTGTTATTTTTGTGTTATTTTAGAATCTGACTTACAGCTCTGCAATCAACCAATTAATTTGTGAATTTGATATTAAAATATATCAAAATTAAGCAAACTGTAATAAAGACGTGCATTTGACAAACTAACATCAAAATTGATATATTATAGCCTTAAAACAACAGTTACCCAAATTGCTAAAACAGAATAAGAAAAATAAAGACTAGAGCTAGAAAATGTCTAGAGAGAATAAAGTAAATAGCATATTTATAGTAAAGAATAGAAATAAATAACAGATTTTAAAATTATTTAGAGTAAATAACAGTTTATTATGCAAAAAAAAAAAAAAAAAAATTTATGACTAGAAAAAATATTTTTTTTTCTATGTAAATTCTTTTTACAATTGGCTAAAAAACTTTTCGAAACTATTGTGCAAAACTTATTTGTTTTTTCATGTTCTAGGATTATTGGCGTAATCCGGCATGTTCTACCCTAACACAAGATTTTCTATTCGATAAAGCAACAATAACAGTAAACATCGTTTAGTAAAAAATGCATAAAACTTCTTTAAAGAAAAGAATAAAATTATGGAAAAAGACAAAAAAAATACCACTTTAATAGTAACAAATATTATTTAAGTAAATCTAATTAAAAATAAATAATTATCATTCAATTAATAAAGAGAAAATAAAAGACAATAATGTTATCTAATTATTTAGAATGACATAAATAATAAATATGCACAAAACTATATATTTTTCTCTAAAAACTATTATTATTTAAGAATACTCATATTATCTCCGTTGTGTTTTTTATTTTTAAGAAATTATCCATTGTGTTTTATTTTAATATAAAAAGTTATTCTCACAAATGGTCCATGAGGTTGCTCTTAATTTCAATTTGGTCTCTGACTTTTAAAATTTCTCATAATTAATCTTTAAGGTTTTACTCTATTTCAATTTTAGTCCTTATGTTAGATAGTTAATAAATCTTTGAGGGGATATGTTAAAATTAGAGACCAAAACTGAAAACATAAAGTTTAAGGACTAAAACAATAAAAAACAAAAACAAAAGTTAACTTTCACAAATAGTCCTTAAATTTTAGTTGTTTCTAATTTTGATTCTTAATTTACACAGTTTTTATTAAATATTGAACACCTAGTTAATAGAAAGACCGAAACTGAAACAGAGTAAAACCTCAAAAATTAATTGTAAGACGTTTTAAAAATTAAAAATTAAAATAAAATTGAGAGGAAATCTCATAGACTATCTATGAGATTAACCTTAATATAAAATCCACTCATGTATTCTTCAAATCACTCAAATTCATACGCCATATTTTCTTCAAAATTGATTGTGCGAAGTACAAAATTATGTTTACAAAAGAAATGGATGATTTTGTTAGAGAAAAATAAGTTCCCAGTCATTAAAGATTTGTTAATTTTTGCTCATTTTGAAAATTGGCTTTGTTGACGCGCAATAAAAATGTTGGCTTTAGTTTTTTTATGTGAGAATTTCTTTAATAAGATCATAAACTGTATAAAAAAATTGTCTATTTAACGTAAATATTATTCAAATTAGATATGGTTCTATTAGGAAAAAAAAAAAAAAGGACTCTATCAGAAAAAGTTTGTAAGTATGGGGCAAAATAATGTGATTAAATTTTATATTTAAATTTTTAATTGTTTTAAAAAATACATAATAAATGCTAATTTTTGTTACTATCCAGTTTCAATGAAAGTCATCCCTTCTATATATATATATATATATATATAGCACAAAAGAAAGATCCAGGTGGCTTGCATTGAGATGGGTTGCACGGAAGGTCGGTGATGTGGCAAGACATGAAAGCGAAGGCCGTACAAGAACAAAAGGGCTTCGGTAATGCTTTTGTTTTTTTGCATATGGGGTCTGAAATTCCTTGCTTTCGAAGGACTCAACACAACACCCAAAGTAATCTCTCATGACGGTTGTTCGAGTCTTACATGCTCCAATGCCCCTTACGGCTTGGCTTCTCCCTCCCTCATAAGCTAAAGGGTATGTATGACTTTGTATAGGCACCATGTCTAAGGGCGTTTTGTTTTTTCTTTAATCTTTTGGATAATGATGTTCATCTAACCCCTATGGAATGTGTTAACGAATTAGAGGAGGATGTGTAAGGCGCGTGCCTTAAATTAGGTATTAGACTAACATATGTAGGGCTTCATGTTTAAAACTCACAAAAAGAAAAACAGATATTCGCTGATTCGAGTTTAGAATTCGAGTTTTGCTACAGTAAAAAGCTCTAAAAAACAGTCACAT